TTTCCCAAAATTTTCCCTTCTCTCTGTTGTACTTTGTCTCATGTCATGCTTGCTTCTCAATTCTTTGTCTGTTGTTTTGACAGCAAGAGATCCTGTGCGCCCTGTTGTTGCTATTCCATTCACTGAGGTGTGCCTGTTTGCCTGAGGTGGCGTTTCTTCCCTTCTTCTCCTTTTTTCTTGCCTTTTTCTTGCTATCTCCCTGTTCTGTAACTTTGTTTGCTTTTAGTTTGCGCTGGCTTGTTTTTTTCCATCAACCATGCAGTTTTTTTCTCTTTTTCCTTTGTTGCATGCTACTGTGCTTGTAGTTCTCTTCGGCCACCTTATTCGTTTACTTGTGCACTTCTTTTCTCTACGCTTTTTTTATGCTCACCAGTTGTATGATATTTCGTTGCCTAGCATTTATTATCTTATCCCTTAATAGTAAACTTCGCCTTGCCATGCTTCCTTGCTTAGTTGCTGCTCCCCAGCTTGGTGGCTGCTTATTTGGTAGCCTTTATTATCTTATCTCATGTAGCTACTCCCTTACTTAGTATCTGGAATTAGATGGATAGAAACGCCTTGCGTGGAAAGCTAAATTTTTGCGTTCTCTGAGAGAGGCTAGATCTGAGAAGAAAAAACAAAAAATTTCCCGCTCTCACGTTCACAAGGTTCCTCCTGCTTGTGTGGAATCTACTGTCTGTTTTGCGTATGGTCATGATAGATCTTCTGGTAATGAGGATCAACCTCCTGTCATTTCTAATACACTAGAAAATCGAGAGTGCTTTCTTCCAGTTGAGAGTGTTGTTATAGGGTGTGGAGAGTTCCATTACACTCCTGATGTATCTAATTTGCTCAATGATCGTGCTTCACCGTCTTCTAAAAAAAATATGCCTCCCAGGTCTGCATCATCTGTTAATGAAGGTATTTCTTAATTAGCTTATTTTCTGCTGGATTTGAATTTTCCTCTTCCATTTTATTGCTGCTCCTCTGCCTTCCTATTGCTTACTATGCACTCTGTGTTGCTAAAAATGAGTTCCCTTTTGTTTGAATCCTGCAGTGCTCCTATTTAGTATTTGAAACCTTGCAAGCCTTTCCTGTTCAGAATTATGCCCGTTTTAACTTATAGCAGCTGCGTCTTCTTCACCTTATATTCCTCTCAGCCGCAAATTTTGTTTTCCATATATCGGCCACTTTGCAAAAAAAAATGCATCCTCCATTACCGAGTGTTTCCACAGATTCAACTTTCATTTAGTGCAGTTCTTCTCTCCAATAATCCTTGTTTAGTTCTTTTTTCGCTATAACTTGCGGCCCCATTACTTGCTTCTTCACCTCTTAAGCATTTTTTCCTGTTAATAATTAAATGTACATATACAAAGCCCTGCACAACTTTACCAATTGTCTTATTGGATTTTATTATCCACAGAAACTTCTTCTTTTCCAGCAAGCAATTTTAACCAGTCTACAGTGACCTCTGTTCGCCAGAGAAGGAAAAAAAATAGGAATACTCCTCTTCATCCATCCTCTGCAATTTCTGCACATAGCAAGAAACGTAGTAACTCTTCTACCGTGAGAACAGAGAATGCAGGTTTAGTGTTGTTTCTCGCTTATCTCTGCCTGTGTTTAGGATTCCTTCTTGCCTATTTATACACAGTCTTAACTCAACATGTTTACAAATTGCATGCAAACAACCACAGGGAGAAAACGGAGGCGTGGCCAGCCAAATCTTTCCCTCGTGAACAATATTCCTAATGAGTCTTTGGCTTTGCCTGATGCTACTCCTTGTGGCCATTGTGGGGCGAAAAGATTCCATTTGGAACCGCCTAATTTTTGCTGCGCAGGAGGAGAAATTTCTGTTGTCGCTCCTCCTATGCCTTACGATTTGAAGCGCTTATTCATTGGTAGCAATGAGGAGAGCTTCCATTTTAGGAATAATGCTCGCACTTACAACAATAACTTAGGCTTCACATCATTTACTGCTAAATATGATTCTGAACTAACAAAGAACACCAAAGGTGTTTACATCTTTCGTGTTCAAGGTCAGGTTTATCATTTTCTTAATGGCCTTTTCCGGTCAGACGATACAGCATCTGGGATTCAACTATACTTCTTTGACACTGATGAAGAATTAGCAAAGAGGGTTGCTGCTTCTGATAAGTTGCGAGCAACCACATTAAGACTCCTTATGCGCATTCTTAGTAACAATCCTTATGCTAAGTTCTTCAGAAACCTTAGCCATGTTCCAAACATTAACAACTTGAACATTGTATTTTGCTGTTATCCCGCCCTTGACCAGCGAGTTTATAACCTTCCTTCTGCGTCCCAAGTTGCAGCAATATGGACTGAAAATGAAGATGAATCAGACCATATGGGAGCTCATATTCAAGTGTATACTCATTCAAATAGCAGCTATAGAATTAAACATTACCATGGCTGCTATGATCCATTGCAATACCCTATTCTGTTTCCCTGCGGTGAATGCGAGTGGCACCCTGGAGTTAAAAGAGCTCGAAAAAAAAAGAGAAGAGAGGATTCCTGTGAGGAAGATATCAACATTCATCCTTCTTCGGTCGATTCTGCATCAAGTTTATTGGATCGTGAACAAAGAGGCAAGTTATTTGTTGCCGCTTCTACCCAATTGCTTTTACCCATTCTTCTTACATTATAAGATATCATCAGCCTAAATAACTACTCATCATTTTTCTCTAGCTGCTGATTGTTCAAAAAATAAAGAAGACACGGTGTCAGCTAGGGAATACTATTGTTACAGATTTCAGATCAGAGATGATGATGAATCAATGTTACTGCACTCACTTAGACTATTACAACAGTATGCAGTAGATGGTTATGTTAAGATTGAAACGTCTAGGCTTGACTTTCATTGAAACCGACAGAACAACATTCGTTCTGAGGTTCTTCAAGGAGTCCTAGACAGTATTTCAATAGGCCAAACCAATGCTTCTAAAGTTGGCCGTAGAACCATATTACCAGCTTCCTTTATAGGTAGACCAAGGGACATGAGACGTCAATATCTTGATGCAATGTCCCTTGTGCAAAAATATGGCAAATCGGATATCTTTTTTACTATGACCTGCAACCCAGCATGGAAGGAAATTCAGGATAATCTAAAGTACCATGAAAACCTCAGGACAGACCGGACCTTCTGGCTAGAGTCTTTAGAGCCAAGTTTGAATTGCTTAAATCAGAAGTTTTGAACAAACAAATCTTTGGAGAAGTTGCAGCGTATGTTTATGTGATTGAGTTCCAAAAATGTGGATTCCCACATACGCATATGCTACTAATTTTGAAGCTTGAATACAAGCTCCTAAATCCAGAGTCATATGATAGAGTGGTCTGTGCTAAAATACCTGATCGTTCTAAGCATCCTCATCTATATTCACTTGTTGTGAAGCATATGATTCATGGTCCTTGTGGTGATATGGATAGAACTTGCCCTTGTATGAAGGATGGTCGTTGTAAAAATCACTATCCAAAGAGTTTTTGTAGCCAAACGACTCATGCTGAAGATAGTTATCCACAATACAGAAGGAGGGATGATAGAAGAAAAATCACAATCCGAAGGCATACTTTTGATAACATATGGGTTGTGTCTTATAGTCCCTATCTGTTAGCTACATTTGACTGCCATATCAATGTAGAAATTTGCTCGACTGTTAAATTGGTGAAGTACATGTATAAGTATGTTTTCAAAGGCCATGACTCAATCAATTTTAAGGTCGTTTCGCATCATGCCCCTGATGACACTGATGAAATAAAGGAATTTCAGCAAGGTAGATGGATTTCATCTCCTGAGGCATTTTGGCGCATTTTTGAATTCCGCTTAAGTGAAATAACTCCAGCGGTCTATACTCTTCAGATCCATCTTCCAGACCAATAGTTTATTTCTTTCGACAAAAACTCTGATCTGTTGCAATTATTGAGCAAAGTTGATTTTTCAAAAACCATGTTAACTGAATTTTTCCATATAAACAAAACAAATGTGGTTGCACAGAACCTTAAATGTCTTTACAAGGATTTTCCTCAATTTTTTGTTTGGTTTCCTAAATATAAAAAATGGGCTGAGGAAGCGTCGAAATGTGATAGGTAGAATGGTTACTGTTAGTCCAGCAAATGGAGAAAGATACTACTTGAGACTTCTTCTAAATCATGTTCATGGGCCAACTTCTTTTGATGATATTTTGACAGTTGCTGATCAAAAGCTGAATTCCTTTAGAGGAGCTGCTTTAGCATTAGGACTTTTGCAATCTGATACTTACATAGATGATACACTCCAAGAAGCCGTGGCCTTCCAGATGCCATCTTCCTTAAGATTGCTATTTGCCACTCTGCTTGTTCATTGTTCTCCAGTAAATCCTCAGCTCCTGTGGGAAAAATTTCACCGTGACCTCTTAACAGATTACCAGCACCAATGCTCATTTTCTGTCCTTACTCCTTCAGAGACCACAACAAGAGCGTTACAAGACATTAACAGATCATTGGAGCAAATAGGAAAAAGAATAACTGATTACCAATTAACTTCAAATGATTTCCATTCTCCTTTTCATGAACGATTGACACAGGAGATCGAAAGCGAAAGGGGTTTACATGTTGCTCCAGAGGATCTCTTACTCTCTCTCAAATTGAACTCTGAATAGAAAAATGCTTACGACCTGATTCTTGCAGCATATTTTTCTGCTCAGGGTGAAGCTTTTTTTATTGATGGTCCAGGAGGGACTGGTAAAACATTCTTATACCGATCGCTGCTTGCTACATTTAGATCGCAGGGTTACATTGCCATTGCTGTAGCCACTTCTGGCATTGCAGCTTCTATTCTTCCTGGAGGACGAACAGCGCACTCAAGATTTAAGATACCATTGGACTTTTCAAAGAATAAAGCTTGTCAACTTAGCAAACAAAGCAGTATTGCCAAATTGCTTTTAGAGTGTAAACTTATCCTTTGGGATGAAGCATCGATGGCTAAGCGAGAAACGATTTAGGCATTTGATGATCTACTTAAAGATATAATGGATTCTAATTTGCCTTTTGGAGGAAAAGTTGTAATTTTTTGTGGAGATTTTCGGCAAACTTTGTCGGTTATTGAGCGAGCAACAAAGCATGTCCTCATAGAATCAAGCTTTCCTAACTCTGTTCTCTGGTCTAAGTTACACAAACTGAAACTCACGCAGAATATGAGAGCCATGTTAGATCATGCTTTCTCTCAGTTTTTATTAAGAATAGGCGAGGGAAGAGAGCCTGTAGATGCAAACGGCGAAATCGCTTTATCACCTGATATAGTTATTTCTTATTATGATAAAGATCAATCTTTAAATAGGTTAACAACTACATACAATTATACTTTATCTAGCTGATTCTTTTTTTTAAACCTTGTCTTTCATTGATTATAGCTACTTATAACTCTAAACAGGTTAGTTGAGAGTGTTTTCCCAGATTTGCAGCTGTATTCTAAAGATCCTTATAGGATGATAAATAGATGCATCCTTACTCCCAAAAATAGCTCAGTCGATGAGCTAAATGAGCTATTGATAAACAAATTTCATGAAAATGTTCAAATTTATATAAGTTCAGATCGGACTGTTGAGCAGCAGCACCAAGGTGACTATGAAGATTTTCTAAATTCGCAGAATCCAAAAGGACTTCCTCCTCATAAGTTGCTGCTAAAAGAAAACTGTCCTATTATGCTTTTAAGGAATTTAAATCCTAATGAAGGATTGTGTAATGGGACAAGGTTAATATGTAGAGAGTTTAGCTTGAATATCATTTCTGCAGAAATTATTTTTGGCATTCACGCTGGGAAACAGTCTTCATCCCAAAAATACCTCTTCAGACCTCTGACAATGAAAGAAATGGGATTCCGTTCATAAGAACTCAATTTCCTATCCGCCTCTGTTTTGCTTTAACCATTAATAAGGCATAGGGACAAACTCTTGACTATGTGGGTCTTTACTTGCGTGAACCTGTTTTTTTCCACGGACAGCTTTACGTTGCACTTTCTAGAGCTAGAACTGCTGCTCACCTTAAAGTTCTTCTTATTCCTGGAACTTTTGATGAGAAAAAGATTAACTGCAAAACTAGGAACGTTGTCTTTAATGAAATCTTTCATTTGACTCAGCAGTAACGATTCTGTCTAATTTCAAGATTCTATCTGATTCAAGTATATTTTTGAATGAGGTACACATACATATTTATCTTTCTTTAATGAATATACTCTTACACTTAACCTGTGTACTAATACTTAGTTATGTTCATTTTGATTTTCATACAGAATGACTAACTTGCTGCCTATCCGAGACATTGTCCCTTTCATGAAAAATTAGAGTTGCATCATCACTGTTCAGGAAAAACAACAGATCACTGACTCAAAGTGAACACCAACAAAAAATAAAAATTTATCTTCTATGATACAGAGGTTAGTGCGCCTTTGTGCCCGCTCTCTTTCCTATGGTTGTAATAACAAAATTTCTTGTTTTTTAGCTAATGCTATACTTGCTGCTTCTATGTTCCAGGGATCAAAAGTAGAAGCAATAATCTTCAATGCTGATATTCCTAAAATGAGTCCGCTCTTACATGTTTACAAAAAATACAAGATCACAAATGCTGAAGTGAAGCCTATCCCAGCAAAATTTCAGACAACTGAGCTCACTATCTAATGGGTGATCAGCACTAAAACTGTTATTCAAGAAATAAATGATGATGCCAATGAAATCATGCCTGTGAAGTTTAACTATACAAAATTTACTGATTTGGTGCATCACATGGATGACAGGAATAAATCAGTTGGTAACTCTCTCGACCAATTAATATTGCTGTACTTACACTGTTATTAGTGCTTCTTCCATGATGCTGGTTCTCTCTTTACAAATGTGCTAGGCGTTGTGATTGCTGCATTAGACAGGAAGACATTGAATAGAAACACAAAAGAATTAAATGTTCAAAAGTTTGTCGTTCTTGATGAAGAGTGAGTATCTCATTTCTTATCTTAACTGCAAATCTAAAGTAAGTTATTACCTACTTATTACTTATATTAATAATCATTACAGATGTCAAACCGTATTGCTGTCTTTATGGGATGACTTTCTTACTAATGAAGGACAACAGCTACTGTCTAACCTCCACAGCTATCCTGTCATTATTGCACGTCGAATTAAAGTCAATAATTACAATGGTACTTTTTGCTTTTATACATTGAAATATTTTTTTTCTCGCCTTCTTATATATATATTTCACAGAATCAGTTGTCATAACATTGATGCTTTTCTATAGGTGTTGCATTGGGTACTTGGTTTGATTCTGTCATACTTGTTGATCCGCCTGTACAGGAAGCAAGAGAACTGAAGAACTGGTATATTGTACTCCAATAATCTGTTTCTATCTCAAAACTTCAACTTCAGATGATTTTCCCTTCTCACACCTTCTCTGTATTTTTCTCCTTGTACAAGGCACTTAGAAATTCTAAAATGATTGCAGATGTTCTTGATAAAAGAGACTACATGAAGTATAATCCTGCAATTTCTCTCAGAGTTGATCAGAAAGCTACCTTAATTTGCAATGTTAACCCATCACAGAAGGTATTAAAACACTCTTTCCCATTTTCCCTTTACAATTTGCTGTTGCCATATTTACATTTTTTTGCTTATCATTATTAATATTGCAGACAACTTGGGTGAGAGCTCGCTTTTACTTTGAACACATATTCCAAAAATACTAGTATATGAGTTGTAAGAATTGCTATCGAGCAACAGCAGCAGATTATGAAGTTGAATTTACTTGCAACTCGTGCTAGGAGAAGCAACCAGCTGTACCAAGATGATAGTTCATAAGTCATAACTGTGTGAATCTTCCTTGATCATATATAATAATAAATTTCCCAAAATACTAATTCTCTCTGTATTTATTATACTTCCAGATGTTGCTTTGATGTTGATTTAGTTGATGACAGTGGAGCTATACCAGCTTCCATATTTGGAGAACTAGCTGAGAAGCTTTTAACATTCACCTCCATTGAAGCAATGCAGCATTTTAATGAGGTTTTATTTTGTCTCAAAAAGTTGTTGACCGACCTATTACAACATTACTGATATTTTTTTCCTCTCGTTCTCAGAATGTTGAGCTCCCTCTTGACCTTGTTCATGAACAACTGAAATCAAAGACTTTTCTGATTCATATAAAACCAATCCAAGCACAGCTAGCAGACGCTAGGCAACGTTACACAGTTATATATTACTATGAAGCTGATCATGCTACCAGTTCAGTTCAGGTAGTAAGCGAGACAAAAAATGATTTGCCACTGCTTAATGACCAGTCCCCAACACTGGAACTAGCTGATACAGGTAAGCGCACGCATACTCTGAACTTAATTTTAATTTCTTATTCAATTACTTCCTGTTTAATTATTTAGTTTTGCTGCTACTAATAGTCTTATTTTGCATTTATGTCATGTTTCGATTTCTATTTAATAAATTCAGGAAAAACGCAGGAAAGGTCCACAATAATAGATCCACGTTAACTTTTTAATGTTACGTTCTTTTTTCCCCCCAAGTATCTTTGCAGCTCAGCTCTAAATTAATTTTGAAGTTATATTCTGTTCATTGGTTTTCACGGAGTAGCTATACGTATTATTTCTTGCTTTTCCTTTTTGTCTTTACTATTGCCTTCTTAACACAAATGATTATCCATTGAAGTTATATATGATAGTGGGAAATCCTATTTCAGTTGTGCTTAAAATATATATGCTTTGTCATTGCAGATGTTGTATCTATCTATTTAGAGCATGCATAGAATGGTGTGGTTGGATTTACAAGTGTCGTTAACACTTGCTGTTAAAATTACTCATGTACATCTGAGTTTTGCAGCAGAACCACAAATTTGTATGCTGTGATTACCCTCACTGCAATATTGAATTTCTTTTTGTGCTTACTTTCACTGGTGTATTGAGTTCCAAAAAGTCCTTGCTCCCAAATTACATTTGTTCAGTGCAACAGATCCTCTTACACAGTTAGCAAAAAATGACTACCACAACTAGGGGTGAGCAATTACGGTAATTACCGAATTACCGACCGAAATCGATTTCAATTTGGTAATTCGAATTCGGTAATTAGGTCGGTAAATCGGTGGTATCGAATTAGTAAGAATCGAATTAGGGTCGAATTTGGTTTTGGGGTTCTTGAATTCGGATTTACCGAATTCGAATTTAATTCGGTAAAACGGTAAAATACTACCGTTTTCAAATTCGAAATTCCGAATATTATTATACCTCAAGCTTTTGTCGGATGTTCCAATTTCAGACTTTCAATACCCTAAATTAGCATTCGTTCTAATTTCACTATTTCTGCTCTCCTCTTCCTCTCGTAGTCTCGTTCCTTTGCGCCGTCGCCCACTGAAGTCTAAGCCAAGCTGTTTGCCTGTTTCTGAGTTTCTTCTCTCCTCAACTGAAGATACTTTCTCAGTTTGACAGCTTCTCCTTTCCTCTCCTCAACTACAGAAGCCTCCTCCAGCCGGTTCTCTCCAGTCTCCATACTCACTCCTCCAGCAGTCCAGCCTCCTCCAGTCTCCAGTCTCCAGTCTCCTTAGCATTCGTTCCAAGATTTAGGGTTTGTCTCCTCTCCCTCTCTCTCTTTCTCACATATTTCTTTTGGGGCTCGGCCTGTTTTGTCCATTTTGCTATTTTTTCCTCTATTAAAATGGAAACTAACAAATGAATTCTGCGTGTAAATTTACCTTTGTATCGAATTATTCTTCCTGGCTGTTCCTTTTGTTCTATTGAACTGATTTTTTATGGCTTTTTCTTCCTGGCTGATGCTCCACTATTGTGTCGGATTAATCATTGAACCTTAGCGACAGGCAATTTCACAAAGTAGTTCTGAGCTATGGTCGTTGTGCAGTTCTGGTTGAGTATGTTGATTAATGTCTAAAACTTTGTTCTGGTTTTAGCTTACTGAACTCATCTGATGCATGAAACCAATGATGGTTCAGAATCATGTAGTATTACATATTTATCTAATAGGTTTAAGATGAACACATAAATTTTGATGGATTAGTATACTTTTAGAGATTATTCCTACTTTTCCACTTTGAATATGTGAATAATAGATTTCAGGGTCGTATTATTCTTTAGAAGCTATGAGCAAATTTTCTCAAAATATCTTGGATTGGATATGAAATTAGACCTACTGAGGTCAGTGAGAAAAAAGTATTATATACCTTTTCTGACTTGTGAAATCTTTGTGTTGTGTCCTTGTTCTGGTCAAAGGTTTCAAGTGCTGGCACACTGAAGCTATGTCTACTACTGATGGTGAGAGTAATCCAAGTTGCAATGAGCTGGAACAAGAAGGATCATCTGGAACTCTTCCTCCTAGTCCTACTACACAAAGCTGCGAAGAATCTGGTTTTGCCAAGAAAAGATGAGAGTACAAGAAGAGGTCCAAAGCTTGGGATCATTTTCATGTAAAGCATGTGAATGGAGTTCGTCATGCAATTTGCAAGTACTGTGACAAGGACATAGCTGCGGATCCCAAAAGTCATGGTACGACTCCCCTTAATACTCATGTAGCTAAATGTCCTCTAAATCCTAAAAATAAGCACACTGGCCAGGCTACTTTGTGTTTGGGTGAAACTGAAACCTTAGCGGGAGAGGTTAAAGGGGCACTCATAAGTTGGAAATTTGATGCGGAAGCCATTAGAAAAAGCTTAGCTTATATGGTAATTGTTGATGAGTTGCCATTTAAACATGTAGAGGGTAGAGACTTTCAATATATGATGCGGACTGCTTGTCCATCATTTAAAATTCCTTCGAGATGGACTATTTCTAGAGATTGCTATCAGCTGTATTTATATGAAAAAACTAAGTTGAAACAACTCTTGAAGAATAACAGTGGCAGAATTTGTTTAACCACAGATTCTTGGACATCCATTCAAAGGATAAACTATATGTGCCTCACTGCCCATTTCATAGATAATGATTGGAAACTGAACAAAAAGATCCTAAATTTCTGTCCTATTGCTAGTCACAAGGGAACTGAAGTTGGTAAGGCCATAGAAAAGTGTCTACTAGAATGGGGAGTTGATGATATCCTAACTGTCACAGTTGACAATGCAAGTTCCAATGATGTAGCTGTCCAGTATTTACGAGGAAAGCTTCAAAATTGGGGAAAAGCTGTGTTAGGGGAGAAATGGACTCATGTGAGGTGTGTAGCTCACATAGTGAATCTAATTGTTAATGATGGCATCAAAAAACTTGGGGAGTCAGTTGATTGTATCAGGGCAGCAGTTAGATATGTTAGACAGTCACCTTCTAGATTGAAAAAATTCAAGGAGTGTGTTGAAATTGAAAAAATTGAATGCAAAAGATTGCTCTGTTTAGATGTACCTACTAGGTGGAATTCTACATATCTAATGCTAGACACAGCTCAAAGGTTTGAGCGAGCTTTTGAGAGGTTTGAGGAGCAGGATCCTTATATGCTTCAAGAGTTAGAAAATCTGCCAACAAAATCTGATTGGACAAAAGCTAGATTCTTGGTGATTTTTTTGGAAAACTTTTATCAGCTAACTGTGAAGGTTTCCGGTTTCAAATATGTGACTTCAAATAATTTTTTCACTGATATTAGTCACATTCATGGCATTTTAATTGAAATGACAGCAAGTGATAATGATGAATTGAGTTCAATGGCAAGATCAATGAAGGAGAAATATGATAAGTATTGGGGAAAGATTGAAAAGATGAATATGCTGATTTTTATTTCCTCCATTCTTGATCCTCGAACTAAACTTGAATACCTTGAATTTGTGGTTTGTCAAATGTATGGTGAGTCCGATGGTACAACAATAGCTGGCCTTGCAAAAGATGCAATGTTTGAGCTGTTTAATGAATACAAGATGCTCAACACACCTGCCTCTCATGCTTCTTCACTTTCAAGTGATTCTCCAACGAGTAAAATTACATTTCATGGACATGGGAATGCCTCTAAAACAATCACTGATAGGTACAAGTTGGAGTTTAAGAAGAGAAAAATGGAACTTGGGGGTAGGGATGCAAAATCTGAATTAGAGAAGTATTTGAATGAGGATTGTGAGGAAGATGATGAGAGATTTGATATCTTGTTATGGTGGAAGGCCAATAGCCTTAGATTCCCAATCCTTTCCAAAGTTGCTCGTGATGTGTTAGCAGTCCCAATTTCTACCGTGGCCTCTGAATCTGCTTTTAGTACCGGAGGTCGTGTTCTTGATACATTTAGGAGTTCTTTGACTCCTAGAATTGTGCAAGGTTTAATATGTGCTCAAGATTGGCTTCGGTCCTCCAAGACAGAATTAAATGTAGAAGAAAATCTGGAAGAGCTTGAAGCCTTCGAATCTGGTAAGCTATCAAAATTTTTATTGCAGAATTTGAAGTATTTCTTTCTTTCTAATAATTGCCTTTATGATACTTCATGAATTTTATTTGTTCTTGCAGAGTTGCTGAAGACTGGAACTGAACCAACTATAATTGACCTTTGAGAGGTCACAAATGCTAAAGTTTGCATTTTGAGGGTTGAACCAACTCTTGTTGCAAGTTGCAGTTTCAGCGTAATTGGCTTTCTGTATTGCAACTCTTCTTGTGGCTTTCTGGACTCTGGATTGTGGATTGCAGTTTCTGGATTGTGGATTGTGGATTGTGGATTGGAGTTTCTGTATTGCAACTCTTCTTGTGGCTGAAGTTGCAGTTTCTGGATTGCAGTTTCTGGATTGTGGATTGCAGTTTGTGGCTTTGTGGCTTTCTAGATTGTGGAATGTGGATTGTGATTTTTGGACAAGTTAATTTAGACTTTTATTTTTGTTTCATTATGATTTCTAGATTGATTTATGATTGTGGATCAGTGGAATTTCTGATTTGTAGCACCAGGGCAACAGTGTGATTTCTGGACTTGTGATTTCTGATTTGTGATGTCTGGATTTGTTTGTCATTTGTGATTTGTTTGTGGATCAGTGTAATTTGTTTGTGAATTTGTTTATGATTTCTGAATTTTAATGATCAATGTGAATTGTGTGTTGTTTTGATTTCGAATTTCTGGAGTGATTTGTGATCAGTTACATTCGAACAATTTGTAAGTTGTGGCTCAGTTCAATAGCATTGCTATTTGCTGATGAAAAATGGGCCGAAGAAGCAGTTTTCTGGAATTCGGTAATTCGGTATTTTTTTGGTTTACCGAATTGAATTCGGGTTGAATTCGAATTCGGTAGTCTCTAATTCGAATGCGAATTAGGTCGAATATTTCCAGAACCATTTACCGAAACTTACCGATTTCAACTACCGAATTACCGAATTCGAATTCGATGCTCACCCCTAACCACAACCGTGTAGATTTGTCCAAACTCTTAACTCTGTTGTTTTTTAGGCCGTTTCACCTTCTATTCAATTTGCGATATCAGTTCCAAATTTTGCCTTCTTCTTCCATTTATTTGCCTCAAGTATTTTGTGCAGCATGCATTCAATAAAAAATGATATTCTTTCTTAGTTTTTATGTGCCAACGTCCTGTAGAAAAATGAAACCTTTTTATTTATGCAAGTTCATCTCATGTTTTTAATACCTATTCTGTCCTAACCTTATTCCTAGTGCTCGTACAGAGCAAGACACTTGCATTATGCTCACTAGCTTTAAGACTACTTAAGTTTGTTCTATGTTTACCCTTTTACGCTTTAATTACGTATGCTCTCTTTTCATGTACTGTTATTTACTTGCTATTTCTTAACCAATTCTTTGTTATGTAACTTGCTCCAGAGCAAAATCCTGCGCCTTCAAAGACTCACATGCGCCTTTCTGAAAAATTTGATGAATTAGACAAGCTCAACGCAGGCAACTCTCCAGATGAACCCACCAGCTCTGCCAAGAAATCGAAACTAACCTAGAGTAGAGTTATTCATTTTTTGTCTTCCTAAGATAGATGCGCCTTACCAATGGTTTGCACTCCTACATTTTGGCAAGTTTCTTACAAGGGTCGTTGATTTTTTCATGAACCCTCTTCTTTTGTACGTATGTATTAATGAACCAGCAACTTTCGACGCATCTGCTGTCCTCAATAGTCAACTTTATTTATTATTAGTTGTATACAAGCCTACTTATTCCGGTGCTGCTTTCTAAAACTTTCTCATTCATTCAGATTGCGGCTTCTATTGCTTATAGCAACAGCTTATCTAATCACCACTGATATCTCCTAGGTTGCTGCAATTCGAATTTTCAGATAAACAAAAACAGTATGCTGCACTCTGTTTCACGGAACCTTCTTCCAAAACTTAAATCAATTACAAGGGAAAAAAAAGAAAGTATTAGGCAAATATTTCTCAAACGTAGGCATAGAAATGAAGCATACAAATCGCACACATGAACATGAAAAGTATGGTCATAACTTAAGCAACAATAGAGGTCTTCAACCCTCCAACTAACCTTGACCTCTTCTTAACCAAACTCTCACTTCTTCTCTCACCCTGCTCCTTTAGCCTGCTAGCAAGAAGCTTCTGATACTCGGCTCCTTCAGACTTAACCTTTGCAATTCTCTTCTTTTTCTGAGCAATTATTGCTCTCTTGCTCTGGAATATCAATGAAGCAACCAACCTCTGCATCTTACGAGCTTTGCTATTCTTTTTACTTAATGATATAAACATTGATACAAACTCAGCAACAATCCGCGCTAGAGTGCTTCTGCTCTCGACTTGGAAAAGGAACAAATGCAGTAAAGAATAACAGTAAATCAAAAACTCATCAACCTTTATTGTGACCGTCCTCCTGTGTGTATTGACATACTTTCTCAGATCCCCTTATTTTAACACATTGAAGAGCTTTCTAATTTTCGAAGCCTTTTGTAAACCTCTCATTCTTGGCTTCTCAATATCAATGAGTCCAGCCAGGTCATTCTCACCTTTCTTAACAATGACAACATTCAGCACAGAGAGATCAACGCTAGCAATACATCCGCCAGCACATTTGCTGCTGCGCTCGCTATTTCTCCTCCCATAATCACGAAACCATAGGGTCCCTAATCAAGTTAAATATACAGTTCATCAAGTAACTGCAAATTGCAATAATGCCTATTACATCATTTTTTCCCTCATGGAGATTCTAACCTCTACGAAGCAAGAGACACACACACCCAAGAGGCAAACCTCTCTATTTCATGACAAAACCCTGCTTATCACATCCACCCATTATCTTGAACCCCTAGCCCTTGAAATCCTGCAAAGTACAGCCAACTTATGTTCATGTTTGTACACAGTTATGCAAATGTAACAACAAACAATTGCATGGACTGCTAACAAGATACATACATCGCCAACACCATTGCCACTGACTTCCTCTGAGATCCTCTTCTCCCAAGATATACGACTATTTATTAAACAACAAAATTATGAAATCAGCAGGGGTCCTTTTATTAAATGT